AAAAAAAAAAAAAAATTATACATATATATAGAAAAAGAATACTGGTTATTGTTGCATTGTGACTGTACATCTAAAAATGTCTAAATAGTAAATTTTATCTTTAGATAATTCATAATTTTTTAGAAGAGGTTAATCCAGTCAGAGGAATAGCCATAGGCATCCATATTTGTCACTGGGGACTATAAAAATAGGCTCACTGTTAATCTATGTGTTGCCTAAATTAATTCTACATTTTCTTTTTACTTCAAGGAACATAAAGTTTTAGAATTCCCACGTTTCCCTAAAGAAGCAGCTTGGAAAAAGAGTTAAAACACCTGTTCAAAGAAATGAGCTTTAAAAAGATTTATCACAGGCTTGGCACCTAAAGCACAGTGGTTACGGTGCCAGCCATATATATCAAGGGTGGCGGGTTCAAACTCAGCCCAGGCCAGCTAAACAAGTGCAACAGAAAAATAACTGGGCATTGTGGCAGGCACCTGTAGCCCCAGCTACTCGGGAGGCTGAGGCAAGAGAATCACTTAAGCCCAGAGTTGGAGGTTACTGTGAGCTGTGATGCAACAGCACTCTACCAAGGGTGACACAGTAAGACTATGTCTTAAAAAAAAAAAAAAAAAAAAAGATTTATCATAAGTAGGTTTTCTTAAAAATGTCATGGTGGTACTGACATTTTCAAGTGTGCTGAAAATGTCTGAAAATGGGCACCCAGCCACTTCACGCTGGGTTCAGATATTTGAAAAATATTAAAGAGAAAGTTTAGAAAAAACAATTTTATGTACACATTAGTCTTCAGAAATCAATGACACTCGTCTATTTACCTGAAAACTATTCCAACACAAACAAGTTATTTTATTAAAATAAATCTGCTTCCAACTGAAGACATACAACTCATTACTGAGGGGAAAAAAGCCTACGGAATGGCAGAAAGTCGTTTTTCCCCTAGACTCACCATGAAAAGGGGTAGGGAAGGATGGGGGAAAAGGAAGAGAACACCAACCAAAAATCACATTCCCAGCTTGTAATCCTAGCACTTCAGGTGGGCAAGGCAGAATTGCTTGAGCCCAGGAGTTTGAGGTTGCAGTGAGCTATGATGAAGCCACTGCACCGTAGCCCAGGAGACAGACCAAGACCCTGTCTCAGATAGAAAGACAGATAGACAGACAGACAGACACAGTAACAAGCTCAAGACAGTAATTACAAATATTCAAACACAAAAAGAAAATTTACTTGAAAGTTTTAACCACCTCAACAAGCATTTCAAAGTAGCTCATTTCTTAATTCAGTTATCACGTGTAAATTAAAAACAAAAGGGGGAGTGAGAATTAGCATACTTCATACCTCCATAAAAGACAAGACATATATTACAATCATTAAAATGTGATCATCTAGGCTGAGTGCAGTGGCTCACACTCAGATCCTGGCACTCTGGAAAGCCGAAGCAGGAGGATTGCTTGAGGTAACCAGTTCAAGACCAGCACAATTAAGAGAGAGACTCAACAAAAAATAAAACTTAGCTGGGCATGGTGGTAGACAACTATAGTCTCAACTACTCAGGAGGCTGAGGCAGAAGGATCTCTTGAGCCCAGCAGTTTGAGGCTGCAGTGAGCTACAGTGATGCCAGTGCACTCTACACACAGTGATAGAGCAAGACTGTGTCTCGAGGAAAAAAAAAAAAAGTAATAATGTAGGGGAAACTGAGCCCTGATCTTTAGCCTAAGACTTCCTTCTTTAGAGACCTCGAGAATCACAAGAATGGCACATGACTTGTGTGCATCAAGACAACATGTATGTGTGAGGTATGGCAATAATAATTAAAGATTCTCTATTAAAAAAAAAAAAAAAGAGTCTCTAGATTCCAAAGGTCTGTTGGTGCTGGAGGCAGAGGCTGTGCTCAAGGTCTACAGTTTAGCAAAACAAAGGTGGAGACATTCTATCTGATCTTCTCCATTTCCTCTCTAATCAGTGCTAACTAATGTCAGACCTGCAGCTTCTGTCTTCCCATGTTATGATAATAAATAAAAACTCAAGGTTTAGGCTTGGCGCCCGTGGCTCAAATGGCTAAGGCACCAGCCACATACACCTGAGCTGGTGGGTTCGAATCCAGCCCGGGCCCACCAAACAACAATGACGGCTGCAA